GCCAAAAAAAAGATACGATCACTAACCTGCCTGCAATTTCGTGCCACATTTGGGGCAATAATTCGGTGTGGAATACTGGCCCAGATTTTCGCCACAGGAGCTGCAAAAGTTCGCCATTATCAAATATGGCGGGAAAGGTAGCAGCTATCAGAGAGAAGCCTGGGTGCTAGGTACCAGTTCTTTGATTTCTCTTCATTTCTACGGAGGAGGCTGATTTCTACGGAGGAGGCTGATTTCTACGGAGGAGGATGATTTCTACGAAGGAGGCTGATTTCTACGGAGGAGGCTGATTTCAACTGATAAGGCTGATTTCTACGGAGGAGGCTGATTTCTACGAAGAAGGCTGATTTCTATGGAGAAGGCCCATTTCTAAGGAGAAGGCTCATTTTAAGGAGGAGGCTTATTTTTACGGAGAAGGCCCATTTCTAAGGAGAAGGCTCGTTTTTAAGGAGAAAGCTGATTTCTACGGAGAGGGCTCATTTCTACAGAGGAGGACAGTTTCTATGCAACAGGCTTACACTTGCATGGAAAATAAGAACGATTTCAAAGCGGAAGCAAGTTTTTATTTAGGGAGGTGTTTGTTTTACAGTGTGCAACAGTGACACTTGTGGGCCACCGTAGTAGTGAGTATATATGCAAGTTCTTCAGAGTTTAGTTAGAAGAGATTGAAGAGAGAGAAGAGTAGACTAAAAGAGGGTAGACAGTGTGCGAAAGAGTAGAGTCAGAAATCTGCGGTCGAAGAAGAAGTATTCGGTGAGAATTAAAGTGTGAGAGACTTGGAGATTAACCAGAGTTACAAAGGATAAAAAAAGCTTGGATGTAAGAAGAATTATATACTGGAGAACCGAGTAATTAAATAAAGAAGTAAAAAAGACAGTTCGAGTGTCTTTGTGCTTTTCTCCAAGTGAGGTATGCTCGATGGGTAGTTTCCTACGACATTAAGTCCTTACAAAAATTACAACTTTGATGATACACTTGATATCTTGCTGCTTGCTACTTTATGATACCAGTTAAAGAATAATTTAACATAATTCTCTTGAGCATTAGCTATCGTGTATTGGTTTATACTAAAACAATGGATAGCGCTGCAGGTGCACTCTGATTGGCTCCAAATAACCTTGTCTTGTCTGGAGCTAGCCATTAGCCACCGACACTGAGGTGACTAGCCGTTAGATAGGATTAACTTGGAAAGGAAGTTTGAGTTTTTAACTTAAAAGTGATTCTGTCATTTTATGGACAGCAGCCAGGAGAATAGCGCAAAGTACATGTCAATGTAAATACGAACATGGTTCTTCATTATCTGAACACGCTCTAGGTCTTCGCTTATATAAGCAGCAATGCACGCGCACAATACTCGAACACCGGCCTAATGCAGGTAAGATGGAAGCACATGATATCATGAGCCGGAATACTTACTCGCTTCAGCAATATCAAGAAATGTGTGAGCTTATTGGCCCTTTTGATTTCATCAGAGATATGATAATTTCATTGAAAGGTATTAGATATGGTTACCCTTAATATGTGGTTTGGGCTACAAGTTCAAGTTCCTTGGAGTTGACGTTTACAACGTCGAACAGGTGTTGGTTCTCTTGAAGTCAATAATCAATTCTTTGCACTTATCTGGGTTCATCTGAAGATTGTTGTAAGCAGACCACTGCTCTGATGCTTTTACAGCGCTTTGGATTGCACTTCTACTACCTTTGGGGAGTTGAGAGCATGCAGGGTAGAAGATTTTGAGGTAACGCCGAATTGGCTCGGATCGTTCTTCTCAGGGTAGCTAGGCCATCGTAGATACTTGCTCGGCCAGCTTTGACAGAGCCATAGTTACCGAGATTGGTCTTACATGTTTGGTAATGGCAGTGGCTGGTTTCTCCTTAGGCAGTGGGACTACGTCGTTGGAATTCGTGATCAGCGGATTTTAAGTCCGGTTACGCTGCCCTCCGTAATGTTAATATTATACATATCGCTATATCGCTCTCAATTATAATTTGTTAAGCGATTTGAAATAGGCCCATGATGTACTTTTATGAAATAAGTGCGCATTCAATTATAATCCATCAAATACTTTTGTTCGCGCGCGTTTTGTACAAACGCAACCCCACCGCAACTTGTGGGGATTTCTTTTTGAATACTTTTACATTTAAAGGTGGTGAACATTGATATTGAAAGATTCGATATTTTATTGTTTTGCATTTTAATTGAAAACATAATTCTTTTTTGTTATACTCACAGCTCTTCCAAACTAGTCAAATCTTTGAAAACGTGTTTAGGAAGCTTCCTGATTCTGTTGTCTAGCAGCCATCTGATAAAAAAGATAGAATAATACGACAATGATAGATAAATGTTTTCACATTTTCCAAGTATTATGAGTTTTCCAAACTAATTTCAGAAACAAAAGACTGATAAACATCTTGACTTACTGACTTTTTGTTAAAGTTGATTTCTAATAGTTTTGATAAGTCTGGCTCTTATTGTTTTGTTAAGTTACTGGAACATCCTTGCTGTGCATTATATAACATATAATAACTAGGTTATAAAATTCTGATATCCTACAGCAATATTTTTGCATATTTCCTTTATTTTTCATCAACTTATTATTTACCTCAGTGTTGGTTGGTGAATATTTACCTCGCTGCCTCGCGGCTAGAGAAGTATCCACCATTATTCACCTCCATTTCGATGAATAATTGTTAAATATCGTTCTATGGAAGTATTTGAGCGCCTACAGCATGTTACATTTTAGGGGATTTTAGATAAAAAGTTGTTCTTTTTTGTCATCTAAATTAAATATTTGATTCTTTAAAAGCCGGTGATGTGTTGATGACTCATGCCATATTGATTATATTATATAAAAATGCAAAACTGGTTAAAAGACACAATTACGGACATTATTGCACAGATGTTTGTGAATGTCATACATAATGACTTGAAACGAATGGACAGCGAGTTCATAAGAATATTTATCTTTAGATAATGATCTGGTAAAGCTGTATGCAGACGGCTTCCTGTATTTGAATTCATTGCTGTTTAAAGACCGTTCGATCTGAATCGAAGAAAGGAACCAGAGAAAACATTTTTGAGGTATTCATTCTCTTTGATGTTTAAAATTTCCATACGAGTAAAGATTACAATGAAACATCAGTATATTATGACTCAAAGTTAACTTTGTAAAGGGAAATTCTTTAAATCCTAGGGAACAGAATGATTCGTATTATCCATTATTAAAATCTTTCTCCCAGCTTTATTATATTATTCCTCGATATTTAAACAAGTCAGAAAGGAATTTTTTAATGAGCATCTTTTTATATAAAGGGCTGATAAAAACATTCATAGTTACTCTACCCTGTTGACAAATACGGTGCCAAAGCTTCATAGGGGAGAATAGGGGATTTGAAAATTGATCACTGAGTTATCTCTTGTCACTTTTAAATTCTTATTTAGACTTTCTCGGCTGGGATAATGATATTAATAACATATTTATGTTTTTTTTTTTTTTATCCAGTGAATTCTGCACCGCGACACGTTCTTCTGGCGCGCACTGAACGGAAATACAAGAAAGAATAAAAGAAACTTCTGGAAAATATAATTGTAAAGGTAGGAGAGAAGTGAATTTTACAATAATTTCTTTACAACCTCTCTTTTCCGACAGAGAGACAATCTAATATTGTAATATAAATAGAGGGTCTCAATAATGTGATGGCTTATTCTGATGACAATTATAGTCATCAAAATAATTTTCATAGTTTATTATCTTTACAACCAGCGGTTAAAATTTGTCAATTTTTGCGCCCAACGGTTTAACTATTGGTAATTTACGACTAACGGTCAACCCCATTGGAACCCTCCAAATTGTTCTTGTTATCAAATATACTAAAATATGATTCAGGGGATCTCCCGTTAAAGCCTTATTCAGGTACAGCAGTGCTTTAAAAAGATAAAATTTTTCTTGCTAATTATAATATCGCTGTATCTTGTCGTTTTTAACTGCTTTGTGAGGTAATGAGATTCGGCCCACATACATATACATTATGCATAATTTTATGTTATTTGATCAAATTCTTAAACTCAACTCAATCTTCTTAGACTTCCCTCAGCCCATCAGCTGAATACAGGAAGATGGTGCCCAGAAGAACCTTCTGGGGTTTCATCATTGCTTTCTGTAAGCACCGTTGTCTTTGTTTACGAGAATCAAGTTAAGAGACCAGAAGTCTTATACAGGTCTTTTCAGCGCATCGCAAATCGATATTTTTCGTTGCTCAAATATTTCGACCCTTTTTAACTCCATGGTGTCCAGCGAGAGAGACACGCGGCGGAGAACCACTGAGGGGATTGCGAAAATCGAGTTACTGCTCCCGGGTAACTTACGAGACGGTTCAGCGCCTCAGTGAATTTCAGTTTCTCTCGCTAATTCGATCCTCTTTACTCCCCGAAAGGAGACGACTGTACGCACCGTGACGGTGAGCCGTGCGTAATTTCAAAATTCAATTCTTGTCGGAAAAATTTTCAACACAAGAAAATACATGCTAATGATTCTCTTCGTTCAAGTTTCAAGTAAAGTGTACATCCAAAACGATCACCTTTAAAATTATACAAGTAAATGAGTCATCCGATAAGCTCCGCGGTTCTGTTTTAAATGCGCGTTCGCATAGTTTTGTCACTTACGTTCTATTACGAAATAATATATCAAAAAGGCGATTGAAATACCTCATCAATCAAATCTTTACGCCAAATGAGACATTGAAAGAAAAATTCGAATGTGAATCTTACGAGTATCTTCTTCTTACTAGTTTCATAGACGTAACAAATCTCCACGCTATTTTGATACATATGCCATGGCTTTCGATCAAACGTGTCGAGTTTGGCTTTCCGTTGTGGCTATATGAAAGCCGCTTCCACTTGAGATACTTCCTCTAAATAGCTTTGTTGAAATTGAAATATCTCAAAACTCAGGCGAGGAGCCGCCATCTTTGTCCCTTCTTTTTTTCTTTATTTTACTTGCAGTTTTGTTAATACTGGAAGTACGCCTTCAGAAAGTTGTCCCACGGTTTTACTCAAGTATACTCTTACAAGCTCCGAAAGGACATTACGTGGAACTGAATTTCACCGTGGAGAGTTCATATCTAACACCCTGCATTGATGATAAGTACCTTGAGGTTCGTGATGGATACAACAAGTCTGCCAATCTTCTTGGTGTATTTTGTGGAAGGAACATTTCTGTTATTGTGCGATCCAGTGGACAGAACTTGTGGATCAGAAAATCAGCCTATTATTTTAACAGGTTTCGGGGCACGTACACCAACAAAATATTCAACCTTACAGGTATTGTCCTCTGAAATTACTAACTGAAACAATTCTTACATGTTTCAAAGTCGTCGCAACACGGAAGGAATAGATGGCAATTACGAGTACTCCAACACATTTGGTAATTTAATTTATTTCTTTTCTTCCAGTTGAACCCAACCTAGACAAGGTGGCCAAAACTCAATTTGTTATTTTCAACCAAACTTCATCTCTTTGGTGTCCAGCACAAGGTGCACCAGCACCATCTATAGTTTGGAGAAAGAACGGCATTGTGGTACAGTACAGTACAAGTGTCAAACATCAGCTGACCATTACTGAGGAGAACAATGACAAGTACAGCTGTGAAGTGAAGAAAAAGAATGGTTTTGACAAGAAAAAAATCCATCTTGTCATTGAAAGTGAGTTTTTTCACAAACGAATTAAGTGGGGTAAGTTTTTAAAGAAACTGTGGTGCCTTTTCGGTGGGGAGTATTACATGATGATTTGGTTTTGCTCTTCGTAGAGCGAAACATTTCTCCCTGACGAAGGGCTAACCCTCCAGACGTCAGCTTTAGAAACCCTTTTTCATTGTCAAGTCATTTGATAAAACTAAACTATTAATTTACAAACAATTGATTCTAAAGTCAGTCTGGCGTTGAGGAAAATATACTGCACGTTTGCAAAGTTTGCCTAATTGCAAAAAAAATTAAGCAACTCTTAACGCTCTCTAACTTTTAAGCTGAAAGACTGACACAATAGTTTTATTGACCAGGAGCCAATGTATAGTATGAAGCGTTCACGAGATAACTAGATGGCAGCTATCATTTCAGAGTACTCCATTTCACACACTCAGAGGTAACAACCAAAGAGCCTCACAACAAAGAAACGGTAGTACATTCATATCGTCTTGCTTTATTCAAGGGTGCCCAGATCCCTGTCGATGTACAATTGCAGTTGGAATCATGGACGCAGCTACTCGCATTGAATGTAGAGAAAAACACTTACAGTCAGTTCCACGGCACTTGCCTTTTTCTACAGCGAAATTGTAAGCGTTTCAACTCTTCTACTTTCTCTAGGCGGGGGTGAGGGGGATGGGAAGTAATAAAAAGCAATGCACAAGACGTAAGATGTTCAATCTAACCCTAGAAAAATATCCCCATTTTAAAGAAAAAAACCAAATAGAGCAGCCATCACCTGAAGACTTCCATAACAACTCGCCTTTGGTCGTACTGTAAGACACTGATGTTATAATTTTGTCGCTATTGGCGCTTGAAAAGCTAAGAGTTAACACTGTTTACCGATATAGGGGTGATATTGTCTTATGTGATGGTTTGAAATAGTTTTAATACTTTCAGGTGGTTACAAAATAACAAGATCAAGAAGCTGCGATGTGACTCATTTTCTCAGTTAGTCAGGCTGCGAGAGCTGTAAGTGAAACGTAGCATTCTTATATCGGTTATTTTACATGTTTAGGTTTACGATGTGGAATCCATCCTGCAGATACTAAGACAATTCCATATCCGCATTGCAAACAAACCAATCACAGGGGAGCCATATTGTTAAATACTAACTCAATCAGTCAGCTTTTCTCACAAAAAATAAGTTAAAGTAATTTTTCGCCATGTTTTCTCCCTGAGAGTTAAGCAAGTTAGTAACTTTCATCAGATTTAGTCCGCTGCTAGTTAGACAAATTGTTTCTTTTATACTGCAAACTGGTTACTTGACTGATGTACAAGTTCTCTTCGAAAAGCACTAAAGCAACAAAATAAATCCAACGCAAACCTACCTGAAAAATAAAGATAACATTGGAAAAATATAGCAGAAATAGCAAAGAAAACGTTGAAAAGTCAGTTTAAATTATACATGAATCTTGTTGTAGAATCTTACATGGAAACCAGATAGAGAGGCTACTGGCTGAAGTCTTCAAAAACAACTCCGACTTGGCCTTCTTATAAGTAACCAGTAAACGTTTAATGTATTATTGGTTTGGTCTCGATTCAACCGCCATTTGCGTAGAGTTATGTCATTTACTAACTTTGTGAGGAAAGGTTTTCTAGCCGAATGGTTTTTTGTTATCTGACTGGAGGGCATTTCAAAAATGCCCCACTAAAACCCATCATGTATCCTTTTTGTAGGAGCTTAGCAGGGAACCAGATAGAGGAGCTACCAGCGGGAGTCTTCAGTAACAACAACAAGTTGCTCAACTTGTGAGTAGGAAGACTAAAAGTTCGTAGTCGATCTACATATTTTTACTGTTATATCCTTCTCCAAATCCATGATAATTTTCAATGCTCAAATACTATTGTACGCTACGAATGAGTGCAGCCACAATCGTGTTGAGAGAGGAACCTTACCTTTTAGTTCATTTTCCAGAGTACCATAATGTTTATTTGTCAGCGACTGGAGAAGGTTCCAGCACTTTAATATCCCTCGGCGACGTGTACGAAACAAGTTAAATATTCTGTTTCCCTGGAGGAGGTAAATATTCTAGGTTTACCTAGATGAGCTAGGTTATGTCTACCTAGATTCCCTTGCGCATTATAAGTATTGAAACACGTTATGCGTTCTTATGTGATCGTATGACGCAGTTTTATTAAGAATTTAATAAAATAATAAAAGATTTTTAGGCCGAAACAAGATAAAAAATGTTGCCTGGTAAATCATTTGCCAAATTGCTAAACCTGCACTGGCTGTAAGTGAAGAGTGGTTGTTTTACATTAACTATTGCGTGATCGTGTCGCAACGAATAATAATGTCGATAATAGTGTAAAACACAAACCGATTACTGTACAAGGACCCACCAACACGTAGTAATAGACATGTGTGCGGATTGTTTACATGTTCAAACTCTCCGAATATCGACGCTCGTACATCAGCGATATTGGTAGCAACCTCAAAACAAGTTCGATTGAAACCATACGAGCGCTTACAAATGGTGATGTCAGTAACTGTTCAACCTAAATCCAGGACATATCCCTATTTTAGGGACTTAGACAACAACCAAATAGAGGAGCTACCACCTAAAGTCTTTCATAACAACCCGCAGCTGGTCATACTGTAAGTAACCAATCTTAATGCCTTTGTTTCTATTGGTGCTTGATGTGCTAAGAATTATTAAATACGTAACCCGTAGTGTATGTAGCCAACCAAAACACTGCAATTTTCAAACAAAACCCCCAAGTTAGGTTGTTGGTCTTAGCTTTTATGACTGTATATTCTATTTTTCTGAGTTTTGTTTTATTTGCATATGGAAGATTTCCTGTATGGCCAGTGCTCGAAGGGGGCTGGAAGAAAAAATAACGCGATCGACTTGATGTTTTCTCTATTAAATCTCAGCCTTGATGTGATGGTTTGAGACATTTTTAACACAAAAATGCCCAACTAAAATCCATGATGTATCCTTTTGTAGGAGCTTAGAAGGGAACCAGATAGCGGAGCTACCAGCGGGAGTTTTCAGTAACAACAACAAGTTGCTCAACCTGTGAGTAGGAAGACTAAAAGTTCGTAGTCGACCTATATATTTTTACTGTCATATCCTTCTCCAAATTCTCGTTAATTCTAAAATACTCGAATACTAACGTACGTTTTTAGCTCATTTTCTAGAGTAACACGATATATATTTGTCAGCGACTGGAGAAGGTTCCACTGCTTTAATAGGGACCTTTAGCAAACCACGACTCCGATGGCAACGAGGACGTGGCAAAAAAAAAAAAAGATGTAATGAGCAGAACAATAGCTCAGCACGTGCGTTTTAAAACTGTGCACATTTTTTATCCGTCCTATGCAAAGCAACAACGTGAAATTACCACAATTTGCGTCGTCTGTGAACCGAAACCGCGACGGAAAATTATTTTAATTTCCATTTGGAACTTAACGTTTCTTTCATACGTTATGCTGAAGTTGAGGTGTGGTACCGTATGAGACGGTATACAAGTGCAGCCATTTTTAAAATTCTAATTTAAGGCAGAAATTCATCATTTAATCGAAATCTTCCTTGGCTTTGCCTTCCTGACTGCTTAAGGTCCTTTCTTACAAGGTGAAATCATTAACATTTGCGTGGTCCGAGAAAGGAAACCCCGACGGCAAGATATTTAAGCTTCCATTTGCAGCTCAACGCTGCTCTTATAAGTCATGCTGAGGTTAACTTGCGGCGCGGTAAGAGATGGTAAACACATCTAGTAATTCGCTAGATCTCAACTAAAAATATGTATTGATTTTTAAACCGACGCCTTCCTTAGCGTGTCCTTCCTAACTGCTAAAGGTCCCTATCATCCCTCGGCGACGTGAAAAAAATAAATTAAGTTCAGCCACGATAGTCTTGAGAAAGGAACCTAACCTTTTGGTTCATTTTCTGGAGTACTACAATATATATTTGTTAGCGACTAGAGAAGGTTCCACCGCTTTAATAGGGACCTTAAGCAAACCACGACGGCGACGGCAATGGGGACATGGAAAAAAATGGCTGAGCACGTGCGTTTTAAAACTTTGAGCATTTGTTAGCCGTCCTATGCAAAACAACAACGTGAAATCACCACAATTTGCGTCGTCTGCGAACCAAAACCGCGACGGCAAATTGTGTCTAGTTCTATTTGGAACTCGACGCTACTTTTATACGTTATGCTGAAGTTGAGGTGTGACGCCGTATGAGACGGCAAACACATGCAGCCATTTTTTAAATTCTAATTGAAGGTAGAAATTTGTCTTTTAATCGAAGTATTCCTTGGTGTTGCCGTCCTGACTGCTTAAGGTCTCTAATATTCCTCCGGGACGTGAACGAAACAAGTTAAATATTCGGTATACCCCTACTGAGAGGAGCTAGGTTTACTACTAACTCAGTCGGTCAACTTTTCCCACAAAAAGTAGTTTTTTTGGCCTTTTTTTCTCCCTGAGAGTTAAGCAACAGTAACTTTCATCAGATTTAAGCCAGTGCTAGTCAGAGAAATCAGTTTTTTTAATACTGCAAACATGTTAACTGACTGATGTATAATTTTTCTCCGAAAATTTCCAGAGTAACGAAATTAATCCAACGCAAAACTACCAGAAAAATAATGATAAAATGGCAGAAACAGCGGTGAAAACGTTGAAAACGTTGTTTCTAAGTTCAGTCCTTGAGGACTGAGACTGGACCTTACATATGTTTATATAAATCAATTTGTTCAATCACGTTCAAGATTATATTAAAAACATTTGTTTAACCCTGACACGGCACAAATAAACTGTCTTCCGACCGGAAAAGGTACGCAACAGCAGCAACACACAGAGGTAGTATAATTTTAACTTAAGTCATGGAATATCTCTTCTTAGGTCCCTGGGTTATAACCAGATAAAGGAGCTACCACCTAGAGTCTTCAATAATAACACTGAGTTGATCGAACTGTAAGTAACGGATATTCACGCCCATTTTATATTTTAACCTTCGATGTGCGAAGAGTGTGTAATGTGTAAGTGTTTACTTAATATGATCAAGACCCTCCTCAAGCTTAATGATATCAACGCCTATTTTTGATATTAACTTTCGATAGGATACGAGTGTAATGTCAGTGTTTACTTAATATGATGAAGACAGTCCTCAAGCTGAGTGGGTGTAGTCAACCGTGAAGAGAATGAAAGAGAGTAGGACTGTTTGCATTTGGACAGTTTAATCAATGATCATTTCCTAGCATATGTAGGCGGTCCTCGTTTCGTAAATCCTATTTTATATTCCCTTACTAACGATGTGTTATCAGTTTGTATAAGCGTGACCAGTATGGAAACGGGAGGTACTTTCAAGCGTTTCCTCTCAAAAGAACAAGGTCTCCTACTCTGCATTCCTTTTTAAACCAGTACTGCAATCGAACGCGAATAAGATTTATACATTTTCACGTATTGGTGATGCAAAGTTTCCTAAACTTACAGCTGGTTAAACGACAACAAGTTGAAGAATTTGTCAGGCGACTTATTTTCCCAATTAGTCAAGCTGCGGTGGCTGTAAGTGAAAAGTCTTCCTTACATATAAACTATTTCAAGTGTCACAAGACTCCCTTTCAATTAATCGCTGGTTAACATAATACTGATCGTATTTGGACAGAGAGAGAGAGCTTTTGCTTGGGTCTTTCAAAAATTGAGAAGTTTTAATACATTTTTGATCAATCAAGCGACTTCACTTCTCTATTCGAATAATATTTATACTTTAAGCACTACTCTTAACTCAGTCGCTTATCAGCTTATCTCTAAGAATCCTCTCTCCTCGGTACAAAAATTGATAAATTATACCTCATCCCCGCTCCTCCACTACCTATTTTCTTCTCTTTATGACCTTTCAATATCTCCGTAGCGCATCAAACTATAAAGCCGTAACAAAATATTATGACTTAAACTTGCAAAGCGGGTATAAACCTAGCCGCATGCAAAACGGGTTAACAACATCACGTGGTGGAATGCTTTACGTTAGCCGCATGACTCAAGTAGAAACCGATAGGAGATGTCGAATTGAACACAAACGAGCGGCAAAAATAAAAATAGTTATAGTTATGTGAACGATCACAACATCCTTTATTAAAAAGTACTACTGCCTGGGTCACTGCTCCATGCTTAACCTGCAGTGATAACTATTTTTTTTAACACTGACTAAATCTGGAAAAATGAGTTAAACTAACTCAAAGTAGACATTAGATTCACGGTATATCCTTTCCATGCTTGACCTGCAGTGATAACTTTTTTTTTAACACTGACTAAATCTGGAAAAAAATGGGTTAAACTAATTCAAAACAGACATTAGATTTAGGGTATATCCTTTTTGAAGGTACTTGCTTGGTAACCAAATCAAAGAGCTGCCACCAGGAGTTTTCGCCATGAATACGAAGTTGACTCGCCTGTAAGTAAGCCATAACAGGTTTATATTCGAAATTATTTAAACTGTATTATTTCAATGTATTGCATTTATCACAACACTCACTTGTAAGCAGCACAAAAAACTGAATGGTCAAAGAGACACAATTAACGTAACGTTAGAGAGCACAAAACAAGGTTTTCAATCCCATCACCTCCTCAAAAGACTTGTTAAAACCATTCGAGTGCAAAGTAATGGTGTCAACAATTGAGTCTTAAAACCTACATTTTTCGAAATCTAAAAGTGTTAACTACACAAAAGTAATCAGACTTAAGTCTACTCTTTTCTCAGTCGCACAACAGATTTAGCTCCTGGAATCCCTCTTCCGAGGTTCAATAATAGACAAGACTTAAGTTCGTCCACCCCGTTCCCCTTTGCCCTATTTTACACCTTATAAACCTTCACTGTCTGCGTGGCACGTAAAACTATGAAACCGTCATGACGTGAACCTGTAAACCGAGTTGAAACCTAGATCCTGGCAAAACTGGGGTAAAACATCACATTGTCGACTGCCTTGCGTTGGCAAGAAAGGTAGGAACCTGTGGGACTGGTACGACTGAACATAAACAAGAGGCAAGAATCAAAACAGTTATGGAGATGTGAACATTTTCATTTGAAAAAAAAACACATTATTAACTGTATGAACCTGGAATTCTGGGTCTTAGTAGCCCAGAATAGACTTCACTGAAGACAAAAATCAATGTATCCTTCTGGCAGGTACTTGGATGGCAACCAAATAGGAGCACTACCAGCTGGAGTCTTCACCTACAACACCGAGTTGACTCGCCTGTAATAAACATATTTATAGAATCACATTTGAAAGTTTTGATAACTTGTTTATTACACGTTCATTTGCAAACAGCTTATATATTTGCACCAATACTACGGAAAGAGTACGGGTGGAATTATTCCAGGTCATATTTTTGCCTAGTATAATTTTAGTATCAAGGATCGTCTGTTCAATGTTATTTTATCTAAAGTTAAAACACTTTACTAAACGAAAGAAAAACACCTTCTAACTTCAAATAACGGTTTTGAATTTTGAAAAAGAATGGCGGGCCAAGATGGAGAATTGAAGGAATTAAACTACAAGGATAAAGCTTTAAGATGAACCTCATCAAAAGACTTGTTGTAACTATTCGAGTGCAAAGTAATGGTGGTGATAGCAACTAAACCTTAAATCTTACGTTTACCGATGCCATACAAAACCTAGATGGGTAAACTAAAGAAAAGTAATCAAGAGCAACACAGGGGGACCTTTAATTCCCTAAGAATATATATAGACTTAAAAGTGGCAATCATCATGTATCAAGTTATTATCATAATTATATCAAAATATTATTTTAAACACTATTTGAATCTGGAAATCTTGGTCGTAATAGCCCAGAATAGATAAAAAAAACAATATATACTTCTCGTAGGGAATTAGATGGCAACCAAATAGGAGCACTACCACCTGGAGTCTTCACTTACAACGCCGAGTTGACTCACCTGTGAGTAATAAATTAAAACCCTTATATTGCATCGATTATCCATACATTCGCCTCATTTATTAGACATCGGCAAAGTTTCTTCAAGCTCAATTCATGGTGAGTAACAGACGGTCGTTGGTGGCTTTACAAGCCAGTTGACTTATTAAAGTCATTGGTCAAGCCGAAGCCGCTGTGGGCGCAAAACTTCATTCTCATGACCACTTTGTACAACCTTTCAACATGATGCACTGACAGTGGAATAGTTCATTTAATTAAGTTGCAAAGCAAGGATGAACATAGCTATTTCCAGACGAAAAATAAAGATTACGTTTATACTAACCGGCTGTCGTGATGTGCTCAGTCTCTTTATTTGTTGATTATGAGCGAATATTCAAAGAGTGTCTCCAACCACAAGGTAAATAAAATATAATTAGGGTCGCTTGTAAAGTAGCATTGTGAAGTGACCCTCATGTTAGGGCATTGAGCAGACTTGAAGAAACCGCAACATAAGCCTAACTTGTATTTTTATTTGTACGTGATGGAATGTGAACTTTTGCTTTAAACATTTCCACGTAAGCTTACTGTTGTTTTTTAAGTTCAATTGTTGAGGACTGAGATTGTACGATACCTAAAGTGTTGATATATATCAATTTGTTCAATCACGTTCAAAATAACATTAAACGCGTTCATTTGATTCGGGCACGGCACAAATAAATTGTATTCCGAACGAAAAAAGTATTCAACAGCAGCAACACACAAGAGGTAATATAATTTTAAATAAAATTATGGAATATCTAATCTTAGGGCTTTGAATAACAACCGGATAATGGAACTACCACCAAGAGTCTTCAATAATAACACTGAGTTGATCGAACTGTAAGTAACAGATATTCACGCCCATTTTTGATATTAACCTTCGATGTGATAAGAGTGTAATGTCAATGTTTATTTAATATGATCAAGACGCTCCTCAAGTTTAATGGATGTAGTCAACCATGAAGAAAATGAAAGAGAATAGAACAGTTTGTATTTGGACAGTTTAATCAGTGATCATTTTTTAGCAAATGTCGTTGGTCTTCGTTTTGAAAATCCCATTTTCTATTCAGTCTTATGGTCGAACACGAATAGGAATTATTCATTCTCACGTATTGGTGATGCAAAGTCTTCAAAACTTACAAATGGTTGCAAGGTAACAAGTTGAAGAATTTGCCAGGCGACTTATTTTCCCAATTGGTCAAGCGGCAGTGGCTGCAAGTGAACAGTCTTCCTCATATATAAAATATTTTTCTAAGTTTTATTTGAGGGGTTTCCCTTAAGTGACTGTTCAATACAGGTGAATGACAATACAAACTGGGACTCAGTAAAGAGTGACCGCCACCGCTTAGTAGAGGCGAATATTACAGTGATTGATGGAAGACAAATTCGGGAATTTAACAACAGACCGCTTAATACAGGGTGACAGCTTTATACGGTGCTGCTTAGTAGAGGTTCAACTGTATATCCTTTACGTAGGTTCTTATATGACAATCACATAGCAGAGTTACCACTAGGCGTCTTCAACAACAACATTAATTTGACTCGGCTGTAAGTAAATAACATCTAACATCTCTAAGACAAATATTTTTAAGGAACCAATACAGACCCAACCACGCGTGTAGAACACCGAAGTTCATAATGGTAGGATCCAAATCCAAACATATTTAACAAATCTGGGTTCAAAATTTTAATAAATATTCAGCTCCCACTGCTATCAATTCTTTTGAATGCAGAAATTATGCAGATGCACGCAGTTTGTGCTTAACGCAGGAGAGCTAAAAACTCAGACATTCGAAAGTAATTTGATATTAAGAGGTTTAGTTCTGAGAGCATCCGCTGCAGTTTCCAGGGTATTCTCTTGAAGGAGAGGACTCTGGGGACAAGTTTGTCCCTAATTCCGTCTCGGCTGACGTAATTTGCAAACAAATTGTTCAGTGACATTGTTTAAATGATGTTCAGATATAAATTCTACTCTTTTCTCCGTCGCACATCAGATTTAACCAC